TGCCCGCCCTAAGTGAAGGCGGGCCAGCAAATCAACAATAGCCCTCTGTGCATACATTTCACGAAGTGGGGTCCTTACAGTTGCAGCACGCCAGTTGGTTGGAGTGCAYCGAGTTTCGGATCTCAGCRAATGCTGAAATGYCCAGGGCYYCTGAGTTAGTTAGGCCCTGGGCTCCTGAACGTGAGGCCGACAATGCACGCTGGGTATAGAGGCCGAAAATGCAAAGGGAAACCGGCCCACTGTCTGARTCTGGCCGCAGGCCTTGACGAGAGAGGCACAACTGCATCTCCCRGGGCCCAACTGTATCRGGCTGAGTTCAGCCTCTGGGCCCYGGTCACAGGCTGAAGGGAGGCCGCCCACACGCTGCACTGGCATATMGGCAAGCAGGGCGAGTGGGCAGGGATCTTGGCCAACGCYGGCACKTGCGGGCACGCTGCGCGGATGCATGTGTGCTGYGCTGTGCAAGGCAGTGCTGCGCTAAGAGCAGGCAGGCCAGCGCTAGGCGGTAGGGCGCTGCCTGCATACAGGGCGCTTGGCGGCCATAGCCGGGCTGCAGAGGACGCAGAGAGGTGAAGGGGGAAGGTGGTACTTCGGAGGTGAAGGGCGCTGTGTGGGTAACAAGGGAGAGTGTGGGGAAGAGGACACGTACCTGGTGATGGTGGAGATCGGCACTGGTGTTGACATCATCACTCGCTGGTAGTCAAGTTGTCTGGTTGCTGTTCATTGCTGTAGTTGTAGGATAGGCCGTAGAGTAGATAGGGCTCCTGGCGCCATTCACAAGAGAGAGCTACGTTTGGGTTATGCTGTTGGTGTTGCCCTGTAGGGCATGGACATTGACTCACGATTCTTCTGTATCATTCTCAATTGGATGGTTACTCGGTTCCATCGTACTATNTATGCTGTTGGTGTTGCCCTGTAGGGCATGGACATTGACTCACGATTCTTCTGTATCATTCTCAATTGGATGGTTACTCGGTTCCATCGTACTATTTGCTTTGGCTTTGAATACTTGGACTTCAGTGTGATATTGCATTCTGGATTTCTGTGCCTCGTCCATACTCATGTTCCTTGCACACCCTGGCTCCATGGGACCGCACCCAATCTACATGGCACCGCATTCAACTCACACCTTACGTCATAACCCGGCAGCCAATCTGCATGACACTGAAAAGTTGTGCTGTGGAGAGGTGTCGTGGCACTTTTCCGTTGTGCTGGGAGTGAAGCTGAACACCACAGCCGACCTCACCGCAGCCGACCTCACCGCAGCCGACCTGCATGGCACTGAAAAGTTGTGCTGCGGAGAGGAGGTGTCCTGATGCTTGCCCGTTGTAGCTGCCACAAGCAACCACTTGTTATTTTGAAACAGATCCGTAATGGCTAAAGGATTATTGATGGGCAATAGAATTGTCATTAAAAAAAACACTCCCCCTTCTGTTTTGTTTCCCCCCCCCTTCATTGAGTTCCATCTGATTTGAACTCTGGTCTATATTTCAATAGTTCATGGGTGTACCAACCGAGCTAGGCCTGTTGGTTCGCTTCTTTTTTTCCCCCCACCTGTTCTTTTCAATTTTGTCAGCAGCATAACTGGCACTGAAGTTGAGCTGAATGAAAGAAGAAAGTGAAAGTGACAACAGCATATATCACCAGGGGAGAGGTTCCACGTTCTTGGGTTCAGCACTTTTAACCGTAGGTAGGTTATGAAGATCAACGGCCAGAAACACCGCCTAGGTAAGTCGGACCTTGCCGTAGTTTAAGCGTTAAGTGTCTTAAGACCATGAGGTAGAACTAATATGGTGCATTAGGATCTGTGCACTTGGTTGGATGGTTGCAGTTTTCTCTTACCTTCCTCCCATCTGTCCTTTTTCATTGTTCGTTACAGCTTTGACCGAAAGGGCATTTCTTAGACTGATTGGAACCGGCTTGCCAATCCAATAAGGGTCATAATCATGGTCCACTGGAGCTATGTTTATTCCTGGAAGGCATGAACGCGGTCATAATAATGGTCTTGTTCTGAAGTGTGAAGATGGCTGCATANCATAATCATGGTCCACTGGAGCTATGTTTATTCCTGGAAGGCATGAACGCGGTCATAATAATGGTCTTGTTCTGAAGTGTGAAGATGGCTGCATAATGTGAAAAGTAGCTCTGTGGAAGACTGATTGGAACCGGCTTGCCAATCCACTGAGGGCCATAATCATGGTCCACTGGAGCTATGTTTATTCCTGGAAGGCATGAACGCGGTCATAATNGACTGATTGGAACCGGCTTGCCAATCCACTGAGGGCCATAATCATGGTCCACTGGAGCTATGTTTATTCCTGGAAGGCATGAACGCGGTCATAATTATGGTCTTGTTCATGCTTTCTTGGCAAGAATCTACCACCAGTGGGGCCTGGCCCTAAAACTCACGGGACTATCCGGTTGAGACCTGAGCGATAATTCTGGACTCCCTGTGCAACCTCCATGCCCGCCTCTCCCCCTCCATTCGCCTCCTTCCTTTCTTTCAACCCCTCGTTCCTCCAATGCCCCAGTGAGTCCAAAATAAATCAGTGCAGCGTGTGCAGGATCGGCAGTCTCAACTTTCAACGACTAGAATGGACATTTAGACTGATTTAGTATGATTTAGACTGATTTAGTAATTTAGCAAATTACTAAATTTACACTTTAACCGCAGTGCTTGAATTTACCCGCATCTGAACTAGCAGAGTTGTTATGAGGTTGGATGATCTGGCAATGGTAGCCATATATGCATCGCATTTGTGCGAGCAAATTTTGAGAGGCGAAACTTTGTACTTTGATTGTTTTGTTTTCAAAATTTTGATTATTTCTCCATGCAAGCAAGAAATCCATGGTGATAGGTACCCTACATCCATGATTGTTTTCAGTTTTTTCTTTGTTTTCTTGAAGGAGGTGAGAGCGAAAAATAGCCAAAGTGAGGAGGACACCAAATTTTCTTTGGCCCTCCCTGCACTGCCCACTCCTGGTAGGCCGGTAGGCCAGATCTTTCTTGGGCACGGTGTTAAATGTGGCCCAGTCTCACATGTACCTCACCGGGGTACTGGTGGGGTTTAAATGGTACAACAAGAAGTTGGACAGAAAAATGCCGCCAACTCATGCAGCAGAGTAGAATACAAGGTTTTCTTACCCTGTAAAATTTGTGTGAATGTCAGCATCATGCCAGCGTGGTTGACAGATGACTCGCTGCTATGTACTCACTCCAGGTCTTACAGAGTTGAAAACACAACAATGAAATTGGTGTTAACACTGTTAAGTGAATTCACTGCGTTGAATCATAGATCGGTATGGACTCTGGAGTCTATGGACTATGGAGTTGAGAAACAGCTATTGCTTGAAATTGGATTCATTCGACTTTGACATTGTGACCTTCCTTGATGTTATTATAATATATTATTATGTCAATTTATGTGATCAATTACGTTTTTTCTTAGCTTTTCGGTGACCTGAATGGCCTGTTTACTTGCGTAACAACCTTTTTGGTTGTTCAGTGGACTGAAGAAATGAAAAGGAAAAAGAAAAACTGCGCTGCGCTTAATACATGCATTGTTTACCCGTGCACCAATTTGCAGACAGATAGCGACTTCAATGCGAAACCCATGGTAATGCTGCTGGGTCAGTATTCCACAGGAAAGACAACGTTTATTCATCATATTCTGCAGCGAGATTATCCTGGTAAGAACGAACCATGGTTTCAATATGAAAAGTGATTTCACTCTTGGTATGCGTGCGTCTCATCCCCCTATTGTTGCCTACAGTTTGAGCTGACAAACGTAGGCAGGACCACGTGGACCAGCGCAGACTTCAATTCAAGCATGTAAAACAGAAAGGTTATCTTTACTTGTGAGTCTTTTGTAGTGATTTCAATACCAATATTGATCAGGCCTAAAAAAAATTGTTGCTTTGATATGATGAAATCAGATTCTCAACAGTTTCGGTGTTATGGAGTCTGGATTCTGGACCTTGTTGTTTCGCCGAACACAGTAAAAGTCCGAAGAAATTTGTTGTTACTTGAGGTCTCCATCCTCTCATGTCGTGTCTTTGAAAAGGAGGCCGTCCGTATTCGGTTTTTGTTATCGTTATGACAACAAATATGTTTCACAAAAACTGCGGTGCAAAGAATCACGCGGCTGTGTTATACTTTGCTTCCTTTCTGTACGAGGTTCTCCACTCCATCACGTGAGCTGTTTTGAATCTTTTGGTGCAATGGTTGCCGTTTCTCTCATAACCATGAAATAACTCATGGCAGTGATCTTCCCTTTTTTAATAGCCAGGATCCGAACCATGGTTACACTGGACCCGGACCCGGACCTGGACAGAGCATGATGTCCAGCCGGACTGACGTCCGAAAAAATCCGAAAAAAAGAAGAAGAAGAAGAAGAAAAGAGAAGAAAAGAGAGAAGAGAAGAAAAGAAAAAGTTACAGAAGGTTTACGGACAGGGGGTGAATTGGGCCATACCTATCTCAAGGCAGTATCTAGCCTCTGCACCTCTCTCTCTCTCTCTCTCTCTCTCTCTCTCTCTCTCTCTCTCTCTCTCTCTCTCTCCCTCTCTCTCTCTCTCTCTCTCTCTCTCAAACTAC